CGTGGGTTGCCATACTTTTTTGACCGTGATCATCTTTACAAGACGCCTTTGGCACAATTTAAGTTTCCAACAAGAGCAAGATACTAGTGCATGTCCTTTTCAACTTACATCATACTTTTTTTCCAATAAACTCCATTCTGTGTCATGTGTTAAAACGAATGGCCCATAGGACTTTAGGCGATCGCGTGAAGCATCGTGTCTTGAATTCGGCTCCTGTCTAGGCCAGCAATTAAACCTGGACCGACCTAGACGATCTCGCTTCCGAGAGGAGACAGATTTCTACAATAAATGCAAATAACAATGGTTTAAATCATCAAAATGCTTTTCTCTGCCGTTTTGAAGCTTCACAACGACCCAACTTATATCCGAGCTTCCAGTCTGCTGACTCTGTCTGGTGAAATTGTCTGCCCAACGAAGGTTCCACACCAACCAAACCGCTTTCAGGCACCAGATGGAGTAGGAATCTGTGACGATATGGCAACAATTTGATTGTGTGTGACAGTCACTCAAGGTTGTACGGTCGGCTGGTAGAATGAAGAGGGCTTGGATGGAGGTCGCAAAAGACAGGTGGCAATTTTCACTAACCGATAAGTCACGCTTTGCCAGTACCATCTAAAAGTTGATGTCCATTCTTATCTCAAATGAAAGGAAATTGAATAAACAACGCTTCCCGTCATCTTGTGCGTAATCACTTTTCCCCCTATCCTCGGCCAATGCCGTGATACAGAGCAGCTCCAAGCCATCAGAGAGAGAGAGAGAGAGATAGATAGAAAGAGAGAGAGAGAAGCAATCATTAAAGCTTATCGTTACTGTTTACGCTGTTAAATTAAACAACGCCTTATCTGTCCCTATCGTTCGGCTTCTTTACCCCAATTGCACGATTATTGTGCATACAAATGGGCATTCTGCAATTGCCCAGTCAGTCTGACCAATCAGATTTCTGCAAATGCCACACACGTAGCGACCGAATTAGCCAATCAGAAGAGGCACTGAGAGCCAACATTTCGAGGGTCAGACTTGTCACAGAATAGAATAGTGATACTGGTACCCGAAGACGGGACGTTCAGTGAACTAGAAGCTGGTACGCCTGGCAACTGGGTCTCTACGTGATGTCTGTGAAGGCATGCTGTTGCTAAGCCTTCTCGCGTTTTTCTTCATCCTATCTGTGGATACTCGTCTTACGTCTGTACACACTACACACACTGTTGTCGCCCAGATTGATGACCGACGTCTCGATTTGTCCGAATTCCGCGGCGGGCCCCTCCTTCTCGACTGGTCGGCATCTCAACCCCTCCGAGCGCCCGGGCAACGGACAAAAACTGGTCATGTCAACCGAATAGGAATGAAACGAGACCGTCCTGTTGAGGATAAATGGACCAGGCTGAAAGCAGACCAGACGACGAGACCGGGCACGATCTGGTCGACAGAGCGAACGCCAAGTTCGAGTCCCTTTCGGCTAAATCGAAGCAAAGCGACACCATCGGCTAATTCATCCAGTTCCCTTAAACACTCCAAAAATCGAGTCCGTTCGAGGCGAGACAGC